AGCCGTCAGCACTGAACCTAGTCGAACCGTCCTAGCTCGAAGGAACTGGCTGTAGCCCTTAGTGAGGCCACCGTGGCATAGCATGGACTAGGATATGGTCAGAGGACTGTAAAACGATGCGCACCAACAAAACGCGGCCAAAAATCCAAGACCTTTCTTGTCTCCACGGAAACCTGTCAGAACGCTAGAATCTCATACTGATACGGACATGTGAAATTCAAAAGTACTAGACAGTAGTTGAACACTATATATGCATAAGCCCCAAAGGGCTTTTAACCGAGGGTTTTGACTTGAAACAAAAAGTAATGAGAGGCGCGCACGGTAGCCTCCATGAGGCTAATTGCCGCTGCCTGAGCCTGTATACACTCAATGATTGAAGAACTACCCGTTAACCACACACTCCTCTCAACTGGAGGTAGTCGTTGGAGTTGAAGTAAGAATTCAGATGCAAGACCCACGTGCAGATCATGATTTGACTCGTTCACCAAAAATAGCAACGACTGCGAGCCCGGGTACCTTGCATGATCACATGGGCTGTCCGGTGTCGATCAGTCAGGCCACCCTGTGTATGTAAGCTTACATGCCATTTCCTCTCGGCCATCGGAGAGATTCGCACAAGCTGCTTACAGCGTCTTCCTGGATGCGGCACGTAATACGACAACCCAATCTAGCTTTAGGTTGGCAATCCTTTGAGAGAGTGGCGGGATGTAGTCGTAAAATGCCAATCGCATAGCTACACCATATCATACGCAGAATAAGGAGTCTAGATGGTTCTGTTATGTGCAAACGGAGTTCCTCCAGGCGCAAAGATGGATGCGCAGCTGTTACAGTTGGTTCACTGATTTCCTTACGGTAGATCGGTGCTTTGCCAGAAATACGAGCTAACCTCAGCTTCCCCAGTTCGAAGATTAATTGCTGACTATATGACGTCTCAGTGATATCGTACGTAGACATGTGCACGAGTGATTGGTCTGGTCTAGTGTACGACCTGTTGGAGAGATCCATCATTTCGGTATACCTACGAGGTTCTTTACTAATGAACATCTTCGGAAGCCAAGGGAACCTGTGAATAGCTCGTCTAAGGCTTCTCCTCGGTCTTGGCAAATTGAAATACTACTAAGCTGCCAATGATGGACGGTGCATGGCGTGCATGAATGAACAGATCTCGGCGAGGAAACAATGTGCTCTCCGAACGACCAGCCACAGACACACTACAACCAGGGAATTGGAATTAGGCAGACTGCTAATAGCTAGCAGGCTCAATCAGGATATCTGCGAAGAGTCACCAAAGATTGAACCAGAAGGGGCTGCACTGCCACCAGCCCAACATGTTTCGAATGCAACTGAGACTCTACGTTCTCATCAGTGCGAGTGCTTCACTCCTGGAAGTATCCTGACGCCCTCGACGAAGTTTCCTGCCCCACAATGCAACCATGGAGCACTTAGTCGTCTCGGCTTCTTCCGCCAAAGCCACAACCGCGCCCAGAGCCACAAGGCGCACATTAGCCGCAGTCACCGCAGATCGAAGCTGCTGATCAGAAATGAAGCGAGAATCGAGAAAGTTCGACCAACAGCTAAAGTCTGACAGGTACAATTTGGTAGGTTTGCACGTTGGGTTTGCGCATGGGCATCCCGGATAGAGTTTGACAAGTCGGAAGGTGCGCCGCATTGAGTTCTGTCATTGGTCAAAGCTTAACAAGATTGTGAACCAACGTTGCGGTACCGTGTATACTGTGGTTACAGGCAAAAGTAGTGGGGTGGGTCAGCCCAAGAGCCGTCGAATAGGTCGGACTTCGGTCATCCTGATTTCTCTCTATTGCAAAGATTTCATCAATACACTCTGATCTAATTGGTTCTTCTGCTCAATAATTGGGTTACTAAGCTTATATAACCAATTGGGGTTACGGCATTGCACCATCTGTTTATCTAGCCATTGCGTCTGTCGTAGCCAATGCCTTGACGGCTTCAGCGTTGGCGATCGGGACAGAGATTACGTTCTGGAGGAATGCGCTTCGAGGACACACGGTTCGTACGGCCGAAGTTATCAGCGGGCCGACTCGTTTCCAGCGCATCCGCCGTCAACTGCATGGTGCACGTTGGTTGCTCCAACTCTGATCCTCATTGTCAATTTTTCTGGCACTTGCCTGTTTCCTGTGAAAGTTATATCATTTGATTAATGGAATTGTTCGGAGTCTACGCAGCAGCAATACGATAATCTACGTTGTCGACAAATTCCTCGCGAACGTATTCACCCTGATCATTACCCTACGTGTCGTTCACATAAGCTTACACAGCACTAGTGCCAGCTGACATCTTCTAGATTATACTGCAACTAGCATGAAGCTGGGGGTACGTCATGCTAAGTTTGGTAGTACACCTGGGCATCTTCAGAGTGAGGCGCCGAGCATAGGTCCTAAAGCGGTGCTTACTTTGGAATGTAGCCTAATACAGTATCAGACTGACTCCGCGGTGTGAGCAATGACTTCTACCTTGTGTATAAATGCCACCGTTCTGTCCACGATGGCAAGTCAAACCAAGAAGACTTTACTGTCAACTACACAACCAACCATCAATCAACCAACACCATACCACCAACCATGCTGTCCAAAATCTCTATCATTGCTACCCTAGCAACATTCGGCAGCCTCGTTGCCGCCGACAACATCTACACCTACATCAACCCGGGCTGTCAAGGCTGCGCCTTCTTCTTCAAAGACATCGACCACAATGTGTGCGCCGTGTCCATCACCGGCAACGCCTCTTCCATTGCCGACGCCATCGCCAAGGGCTACACCACCGTGCAGTCCGGCAAGTTCGTCACCCAGGAATGCGGCCAGAAACACTTCCTCGGCTGGGACGACGGCCCAGGCAAGAACGCGGACGGCCCGCTTCAGTGCGGCACTGTTGTCGGCAACGAGAAGGTCTGGGGGACCGAGACGTGCATTGGAATGCCGCCGTATGGTGTCGATGGGTTCCATGGATTCAGCTGGACGGAGCCGAGCAGCAATAAGTCTGAGAAGAGGGATCAGTGGACTTGCACTGGCTCTGTGGAGCCGGATGGTGTGGTTCTGAACGGAAAGAACTACAACTTGCATGGTATTAGCCAGAGCGACGCGGATCGGCTCAAGGAGTTGGCCATGGCGGGTGGCGGCGAGGTCCCTGCGGACCTGCAGCAGCACGAGGTTGCGCAATTCTAGGAGCTGGATTCTAGCACCTTTGGTAGGGATGGGGCTGGTACATCTGTCGACACAGATTAGGTTGTAGTGACTTTGATGTTGTATGTTCCGAATGGGGGAAACGCTGTATTTAATCCAATCAATGCTCTTGACTACACATGCAATTGTTCTTTGAACTTCACAGCAACTCCGAACTGCGTGGATCAACTTTGTTACTTGTTCCTGATCGTGGAGTAAAGCAGCAGCCTCGTGCATTACTCCACCCACTCAGCCACTAACACAATCTTTAGTTAAGCACCACGAAAACGCTGAACGGGATCAAACTTCTTATGATCTCCAGCGCGACAGCAAGACAGAAGTTCGTCTTCACCATTCCTCACTGCCCCCCCTTC